TGTCTGGGACAAATTCAGTGTAGAGTAAATACATTGTAATTACATAGTATTATAAATGTACATTTTCAGAAAGCTATTTAGTCAATTTCTCAGCAATATATTTCAGTTAATGGAAAAAGTATTTGGATAATAATGAAATGATGGCTAACTATTTTTACCATGTAGGCTTGCTGACAGGGTGGACATTTTTGGCTAATATTAGCATTTAATGAGCACATGGTGGACCTTCAGTTAGCAACATGATTCAGTTAGCAAGGTGACTGTGTATGTTTGACAAATATATTTCGAATTTCTGAAAGGTTTTTATATTAATTGACATTTCACTATGACAGAGTGGACATGTTAAGCTTGACAACATCCAACTACACACATAATATGATTACAATTACGAAATATAAGTTGAAATACTTACTCTGCAACTAGCCAATGTCTCAGCCTCCATTGAGGAAAGACAAAATGGTGGTAGTAATGTCATTGAAAACATCAGATGTTTTTTTATGGGGAAGTTACCCCATAATGACAGGGTGGACAGCAATGTCAGGGACACATGCAAAATGGTCAATATTATTATGAAAATAGAATATACATGATCAAAATGACTCGTATCGAATAACTCGTTGTGGACAATAAAACCATATAATTATTTAAAAAATGTAGTATCATTTAATCACTTATTATTACACACACTGTAGTCAGCAGAGCAGTGTGTGGGACATGCCAAAATCACGTACATCCAAAAAATAAGGTATAAAATGAAGGAAACACATTTCAAGAGACTTATCATTGTACTGATATGTGTGTAAATGTTTGGCCTTTTATAATAAGACCTCAGAGTTTCATTATTCTGCTACATTTTCATGATGAATGAGTGATTCTGATGGGGACACCAAAGTTACTTTATAGTGATATTGACTGAACTCTTAGTTGACGGCGGAATGATCCGCACGTTTTATCGGCGGCGATGCAGGATACGAGTTTGCAGATAGATTCACCTTAATCTGTTAATGCAGTCTTGACAGGTGTAAACTGTTGTGACACAGGATGCGTTTTAGGGCCAATATGTGATATTTCATCTTCCTCAGCAGGGTTTTATGTCAGCACGTACTCCATTATATTTCCATAATTTTGGAGAATATCAGATTTGTGTTTTTGTCCTTTTAATGCAGCTTCCTGTGATGCAAATGTCTGTTATAACTGGAGTTAATCTGCCACTGATTTAGGGATATTACTCATTGTCAGCTCATTTGTGTTTGATGATCTGTCGACTCCTTAACTCAGCAAAAAAAGGTTTTTGCTTCCGATTCATAGAAATTATTCTTGGCACGCTGCCACACGACTTTGTTGGCACTGGTTAGTTTTCACGTTCAATTTTGAGAAGTGGAGCATGGAGTGATCTAATCATCTACTGTCGTTTATCTGAATTTGTCACGCACTCTGAAAAGTTGTCTGGCTGCAAGCCGCTCTCTGATCGAGTACAGGATGTTCTGGCAGGGCGAGATAAAACGCTGTGCGGGGAAAAGGTTCTCCTAAACACTTCCTGTTACGATTATTGTGTTATGTCACGTTTTGTATGTCTTGTTTTGGGTGTTTTGCTGTTCTCCCTGTCATGTTTTCTCCCTTGTATATTGTCTGGTCCTTCTTCCTGTGTTTTTCCCCTGTTGTTAGTTTCCCTGGTGTGTCTAATTGTCTGATTGTGTTCACCTGTCGCTCTTGTGTTTCTCCTCCCCTGCCCGGCTGTTTCTCGTCTTGTGATTACCCTCCCTGTATTTAATCGTGTCTCTCCCTGTGTTCAGTGTTGGTTCGTCTTTTGTTTGTGACTGAGTTCACCGGTGAGTGTTCTGTTTTGTCCTATTATTTGAAATAAAGGCATTTCAGCGTTATCTGCATTTGGGTCCTGCTTGTTTCACCCACCGTAACAGAACAAACCAACCAAGAAATGGACCCAGCAGATGATCCATTTGAGGTGGAATTACAAAATGTTTCCTTTTATTTGGCTTGCTGCTATGATTGGTGGAAGGGAGCGTCAAGTGTTCTGCAGAGGGAGGCCGCTCTGGTAGAGGCGCACCGGTTGGCTATGGAGAAACCAGGCTTGGTGAAATTCTTACCTGGCTGGATTTTGAACTTCCTCTGGGTGTGTGATTTCCAGCCTGTTGACTACAAACGTCTCGGTGTGTTCCGTCCGGAGTCAACCCCTGCTTCTTCCCCATGTCCTGCTCCTGTCCAGGAGCTGTTCTCTGGAACTCGTCTGGCTTTTGGAGGTCCACGAAGCTTCCAAACGGCTCCTAAAAGAAGGAGTCGCAAGGCCAGGCTAGCAGCCCGAGCCCCAAGAGCCATGGTTCCGGCCCAAGTTCTGGCCCCAGCAGCCATGGTTCCAGACCCAGTTCTGGCCCCAGCAGCCATGGTCCCAGACCCAGTTCTGGCCCCAGCAGCCATGGTCCCAGACCCAGTTCTGGCCCCAGCAGCCATGGTTCCAGACCCAGTTCTGGCCCCAGCAGCCATGGTCCCAGACCCAGTTCTGGCCCCGGCAGCCATGGTCCCGGCCCCAGTTCCGGCCCCAGTAGCCATGGTCCCAGACCCAGTTCTGGCCCCAGCAGCCATGGTTCCAGACCCAGTTCTGTCCCCGGCAGCCATGGTCCCGGCCCCAGTTCCGGCGCCAGAGGCCATGGTTCCAGACCCAGCTCTGGCCCCAGCTGCCATAGTCCCATCTCTAGTCCCATCTCTGGTCCCTTCTCTAGTCTCTTCTCGAGTCCTAACTCAAGTCCCTTCTCTAGTCACTTCCATAGTCCCTCCTCAGGTCACTTCCCTAGTCCCTTCTCTAGTCCCTTCTCCAGTCTCACCTCTAGTCACTTCTCAAGTACCAACTCTAGTCCCATCTCAATTCCTTTCTCAAGTCCTTACTCAATTCCTTTCTCAAGTCCCTCCTCTAGTCACTTCTCAAGTCCCAACTCTAGTCCCATCTCAAGTTCCCTCTCGAGTCCCCTCTCCAGTTTCTTCTCAAGTGCCCTCTCGAGTTCCCTCTCCAGTTCCCTCTCCAGTTTCCTCTCAAGTCCCCTCTCCAGTCCCCTCTCAAGTCATCTCTCGAGTTCCCTCTCAAGTCACCTCTCGGGTTCCCTCTCCAGTCACCTCTCGAGTCCCCTCTCGAGTCCCCTCTCCAGTCCCTACTCAAGTTCCTACTCAAGTCCCAACTCAAGTCCCTACTGAAGTGCCGTTGGAGGTTCCGCTGGGGGTCCTACCAACTCCATGTCCTGTCCCGTTGGAGGTCCTGCCGGGGGTCCTGCCAATCCTGTGTCCTGTCCCGTTGGGGGTCCCGCCGACTACTCTCCTGCCGGGGGTCCTGCCAACCCTATGTCCTGTCCCGTTGGGGGTCCCGCCGACTACTCTCCTGCCGGGGGTCCTGCCAACTCCATGTCCTGTCCCGTTGGGGGTCCTGCCGACTACTCTTCTGCCGGGGTCCTGCCAATCCTATGTACTGTTAATAATAATAATAATTCATTTATTTTATATAGGCGCCTTTCATGGCTCTCAAGGTCGCCGTACAAACACATAAAAAACAAGATATACCATACATAACACCAGCATAAGAGACATAAACAAGACAATGCAGTATATAAATCAATCAAATAACCAAATAAATAAAAACAGAGGATGTGTGATGGATAATGATCAGGGTGGATATGCGAGTGTGAAGAGATATGTTTTGAGGCGTGATTTGAAAATGGGGAGAGAGTCAGTGTTGCGGATGTCAGGTGGGAGGGAGTTCCAGAGGCGGAGGTGTTCCGTTGGAGGTTCCGCTGGGGGTCCTGCCAGCTCCATGTCCAGTCCCGTTGGAGGTCCCGCCGACTACTCTCCTGCCGGGGGTCCTGCCAATCCCATGTCCTGTCCCGTTGGGGGTCCCGCCGACTACTCTTCTGCTGGGGGTCCTGCCAACCCTATGTCCTGTGCCGTTGGAGGTCCCGCCGACTACTCTCCTGCCGGGGGTCCTGCCAACCCTATGTCCTGTCCCGTTGGGGGTCCCGCCAACTACTCTTCTGCCGGGGGTCCTGCCAATCCTATGTCCTGTGCCGTTGAAGGTTCCGCTGGGGGTCCTGCCAGTTCCATGTCCAGTCCCGTTGGAGGTCCCGCCGACTACTCTCCTGCCGGGGGTCCTGCCAATCCTATGTCCTGTTCCTCTGGGGGTCCCGCCGACAACTCTTCTGCCGGGGGTCCTGCCAACTCCTGGTCCTCTTCCGTGGGGGATCCTGCCGAAGCCTGTCCCACCGGCTCCGGTTCCTGTTCGGCCAACACCGGGTCCTGCCCGGCCTCCGGAGCTGTCTGGTCTTTGCCCTCGAGCCCGGCCCCCTGAGAGCCGCGGTCTTCGCCCCCCAAGCCCGGCCCCCTGAGAGCCGCGGTCTTCGCCCTCGAGCCTGGCCCCCTGAGTGCCGCGGTCTTCGCCCTCGGGCCCGGCCCCCTGACTCTTCCTGCCGCGGTCCTCGGGCCCAGCCCCCTGACTCTTCCTGCCGCTGCCTTCGCCCTCATGCTCGGCCCTCTGAGTTCGCCCGCTGTGGCCTTCGCCCCACCATGGACTCTGCCTTGCCCCCGGGCCGTCCGCCCGAGACCCCCACCTTGGACTCTGCCTTGCCCCCGGGCCGTCCGCCCGAGTCCCCCACCTTGGACTCTGCCTTGCCCCCGGGCCGTCCGCCCGAGTCCCCCTTCTCGGCTTCTGCCTTGCCCCTGGGCCGTCCGCCCGAGATCCCTTCCGGGTCCTCCGCTGTGCTCCTGGGCTGTCAGCCCAAAATCCCGTCCTCCTGACCCCCTCCACCCACCCTGGTGGCCTAGTGATGCTTTTTATCTTACAAGTTTACAGTGAACTGTAGCACTGACTGACTAATGTTGATTAGCAGGGTAATTGCTGTCAAATATTTTTGAACATAGTTGAAACGGAAATAGTTGGAATGCGTCAATTAAATGTGCAAATGTCACTTACACCCTTAGCCTGTTGACATAAAACAAAATCAAGAAACTACAAAAAGTGTTTTTTATTATGTGGCTGAACAATTTAATTGAGAATAACTTCAAGCAGTAACATTATGTATTTGTATCAATTGCTACTGTGAGCAGTATTAAATATCTTGTTGCAATTGTCATATTTCTAACCCTGTTAGGAATGGATTGACTTTAGGCCCCATCATGCTTTTTGGGGTTTTCCCTCTCCTGTTGGTGGTGTATAGGTTTTTGTGCATGTAAATGGTCTGAAAGGCACAAAGAAAAGCCTGAAATGCCTCCATTGGACACTTTGTTTACTGCTGTCTCATCGTGACATCACTACGTAACACCTGCGCCTTTATTAGCTAGCACAACATATTGGACGTGATAGGCTAAGGGGCGGGACATCTCTCAGTTCACAACAGTCTGAAAACTCTGGTTTCAGACAGAGGGTGAAAAGAGGTGCTGCAGCACAGGCAGTATGAGAAAAATAAAGAGCTTTATGAACATTAAAGCATGGAGACATGTCACAGTAGAGACATTAAATAGAGGGCTGAACCAAGAAATTAGCCTTATAGCGCCCATTAAAGCAAATGGATATTTTTATCCATTATTTGGTGACAAAATAACATTTTTTTTCACCAACATGTTATCTTCTCCTGCAGTGTACGACAAGGTACTGTTTGTTAATTATGGGCAACAACTGACAATTATTTCCATTGTCAATGAATTGTTTGGTATTTAAAATTGTGTAAAAAATCTCAATCCCTGTTCTTCAAGTCCAAGGTGTAAACCCAAAGATATTCACTTCAATAATAGAACATCTCTATTTTAAAGAGGCTTGAAACAGTATTTCCTGACATTTTTATATGAAAAATTACTTTAACATGAATCAATTGTCAAAAAGGTTGTTATTTAATTGTACAAAATATAATTTCAACAGTCCTCGCCCAGGCTAGTTCCTGTTAAACCGGCTTGATTAAGTTAACATTTGACCATGTGAGAAAAGGGAACATGAATGCTTTCTGATTTCACTCACTAAACTATGCCATTTGTCATTTCACAAATATAATGCTTGCACTTCTAGAGGTAAGCAAGTGAAATGGCCATCAATAGATTTGTTATGATTTATCGGTGATTTCTTATATTTTATTATTCTAAGGGGTACAACAATCAGGACTTTAACACTTGCTTAATTCCATCTGCTATTTCAAAAATAAAAGAAATGTTTCCAAAAACAATGCTTGTGTCCACCGTTTACAGTCAGTGCATTAGTTTATCATGCTGAGCAGCAAATAAAGGATAATAATAATAATAATCAGCCCCAACTCCCATGTATACAGCAGGAGGATTGATACATGAAGGTTACTGGCATCTTATGCATGGAGAATAAAGGTTTTCCATACAGCAGCGTTCTAAACAACTTAAACGAAAACCTTTGTGAGTAACAAAAATAGAAGAGAAAAAAGACATAACACTGCTAATATTAATCTTTGTATACTTTGCATCTACAGCAGAACATATCAGATCACTCTCATCATTCAAATAGTATTGACAATTCAAAGGCGTTATTCCTGAGTAACTATTATAAGCTTTAAAACTGCATATGAAAAACTGTGTTAGTACTGTTTTTAAGTTAAAGGACTCATTCATCTTCGGTAGCATATAATGTGTAAGTTAAAAACTCCAGTGTCGATGGTTTACCTTCAAATCAGAGCGAGTTTGAAAGAGGAAGAACTTTAAGATGTCGGCCAAATTTACATGAGGTGCACATTTGCTTTTAATACGAAAGCAAAAACGTATGACAACACCGTGATGGTTTCTTTCAATCCTTTCACACTAAAGTCACAGAGCGTGTGTCGGAGCAGCTGATGTCTCCTGTTACCACGGTGATGACAGGTCTGAGGTCTTTAAGGCTGATCTCCAGCTGACTGCAGTCAGCTGGAGATCAGAAGGTTACACACTTCTGTCCTTGTGTCCTTGCACACCAATGCCACATCAGAATCCCCCCTGGCACAATAATACTTTAGATGAGTCAGTGATAAGAATAAAGCCTGAGATTTCAGCTTATAGTTTCAGAAACATGAGCTATGGTTTATAAGTCTTTTGTGTTTCAGCCTTCATATGTTTTACATATTTGGTAACACTTTCTATGACACCCATGTCTATAAGGCTTTGGAAACATATTCATCATGCGTTATGATCTGCTTATAGCACTGTGTAATCGTATGTCTTCCTTGTTATTCATTAAATGCTTTATCGTGTTAGAATTTGTACTGATACATCTTTATTTGTATTGTTATCTGTTTCTCGCTCATTTTTACTCAAAGGTGGGGTAGGTCATTTTGGAGAAACCGGCTCGAGTGCGCTAGAATTTGAAAATACGTACAGCCGGAAAAAATCTGCCACTTCCTTACAGAGCCCCTCCTCCAACACACAGAGAAGGCTGACAGGCAGGTAGGCCATCCAGTTATTTTAGCCGGGCCGGCTCAGATGATTGGTCGTGCTTTTTACAGCGCTACGGCTTCCACAGATGACAATTTGTTATGGATTTATATAATATATAATATTCATTGCTATCGGGATGTTAAGAGCATTCCATGGAATATAACAAAAACTGTATCTCGAGCCGGTTTCTCAAACTTACCTACCCCACCTTTAAACTTCTTATATTTTTATAAATATTTTGATTACATTTTATTCTCAAGTTTTTACTTTAAAGTCTCTTGTTTGTATAAATCATTTTATTTTATTTTTATTCAAAAATGGAGCAACTGTTGCATATCCCTGTTTGCCCCCATGTAAATAAGGTATTATGATTCTGATGCTGTAAGCAGATTACAAGACATTTTAACTCTGTTTAAGATGCCTAATAGACATGTGTCATGGTTTTACCAAAGTTTTTATTTTTTTCGGAGTCTGAATAAGCCTTGCTCGTGGGTTCCTGCCTGGTGGCGGCCTCCAGCAGAGTCATATCTTCTCTCAGAGTCACAGCTATGAAGAAGGCGTGGGGCTTCAGAGTCAGCCCGTAGTCGTAGTCCAGTTTGACGGGCCGGGCGGGGTCCACGGTGATGTGGCACTGGTGGGAGATCAGCACCGTGAAGAGGAAGAGCTGCAGCTTGGACAGCTCCTCTCCGATGCACCGCCTCTTCCCCAGCGAGAAGATGAGCACGCTGCTGGTCAGGTCCTTATTCAGGACCCCATCCTTCAGGAAGCGCTGGGGTTCAAAGGTCTCCGGGTGGGACCACAGCTCTGGGTCGTGGTTGATGGACCACTGGTTGATGAAGACCACGGTGTTCTTTGGTATGGTGTAGCCCATGATGGAGGTGTCCGTGGTGGTGGAGTGGGGGATGGTGAGCGGCACGAAGCTGGTGAAGCGCATCACCTCGTAGATGAAGGCCATGACGTAGGGCAGCTGGGGCTGGTCCTCGATGGAGGGCAGCCGGCTGCGGTCCACTACCCGGTCCACTTCCTGCCGCAGACGCACCTGCATCTCAGGGTACCTGCAGTCACAGGGGAGAGCTGTGTTTAATGTGACATTCACAGTTATAGAGGGTTCACTCATAAAGGGCTGCAGGACTGAGTCAATTTAGCACTTTTTGATCGCTCGTCTCTGTATCTTTGTTTTTTTTAATGGGTTTGGTTGGATGCTTAACTTAAATGATTTTTAGAAATATGTTTGGTAAGGGGGAGACCAAGGAAATGGCATGCCAAAGTTGTCCCTGGGTCTGAAACACACAGCAGAACTGAAGCAACAGTGCCAGGTGAGCAATGTGCGGGCCAGAGGGATATTAACGTTTAGTTGTATATCAAATATGTTAGGATATACCCCACTTGTGAATTTGAAGCTTTTAAGTGTCTATCGCAATGCCAACTAGTGGCTCAATGACATGTACACACGCAAACAAACAGACTTAAGTGTTGTGGTCGAGACATTTAGGTCATGTGACCATGTTTTTTTTTGCGTTTATTGCCTGCGTTTATTGGCCGATTGCATATATGCTAAAACAATCATAAAGGTAATGTTTATTTATGAAAGTTATACATCTGAACAATATGTGCAAGTGTCATAAACGTATGTTTGCCAAAGATCTTATTTTATACAAAAAAATGTTGTGATGAAGGTGATGCTACATTTCGGTTTTGCCGACAAAAACACATCATTGCTAGCACTCTTTAATTCATTGACATTTAGTAACCAAGGAGAATGTCACCTAAAAGCACCTAAAAGTTCACAACCTTAAAATGATCTATAGCCTATGATAATAAAGAGTGCTTACTTGACCAGAATGAGGATGATCCACTGCAGTGCCGTTGACAAAGTGTCTTGACTCGCCCCAAAAATATCCCCCAGAGTGGAGGGCACGTAGTCCTTCCCGCCGGATAAGACCCTTGATTTTTCTCTTATCTGCTCCATCGCCACAATAAAGGCATCCGTCATGTCCCTGATGGTGCTCGACTGGATGGTTTTCCGGTGCTCGATAACTTTGTCTCCGATGAACCTGTTAAACTCCAGGTTGAGCTCCTTGAAGTTATCAAACATGGTTTTGATGGGGTTGGGGAAGTACTGCAGCCAGGGCATCACGTCCACGATGCTGCCGGCCCCCACGGTCTGGGTAAACTGGTCGTTCCTGCCCACCACCTGCTGGAACTCCTCGTCATCGTGAGAGTACCTCTTCCCGAAGCACACCGCGCTCATGATGTTGGCCGTGCACACCACCAGGTTGTTCAGGGGCTGGAAGTACTGCAGCTCCTGTGTCTTCTTCACAAACAGCTGCAGCAGCACTTTGAACTCGCACAGGACGTGGTGCTCAAAAGTCATTTTGGTGTCTGGGTTCCCCGTGGAGAACATGCGCACGGTGGACTGAGCCACCCTGCGGTGCACCTTCCACCAGTCCGTGATGGTGCCGAACGCCAGGCTGTCCCCGTTGGAGATGTACTGGAAGGAGGTGAAATCCGGTCTTCCAGCAAAGTCGAGTCCCTGCTTCACCAGCGCCTGCTTGATAGAGTCCCCGTTCAGCACCACCACCGCGCGAGAGCCCAGTTTGATCTGGAACACGTTGCCGTATTTCTCCGCCATGCGCGCAAAGTACAGGTGCGGGGCTTTGCCGAGCTGCGGAGCGTTCCCGATGACCGGCCAGGCGAAAGGGCCGGGGGGGCCAGGGGCCGAGCGCTGCCGGAGCCAACGCCACAGGTGGAGGGAGAACAGCAGGGTTACACACCCCACCAGCAGGGCTCGTGCATTCGCCGGGTTAATCCCCTCCAAAGTAAAATCCATTTTTGGGATCCTGCAGGACAATATGATAAAAGCACATGTATTTAACAATTGAAATAGGATGGGCCAATTTATATGTAAACAAATATGACATTCTGCTGAATCAGGAGGTGATGAAATACCTGCTTATATCCTTGGCTCATCGAAAAAAAATCGGATGTTTCCAGAATATTAAACGTGTTTCCCTGAAGGGGGAAACTACATTTTCAACCTCAGAATATTTTCTAATTATACTGAAAACAATCCAAAGCACAGACTGAGTCTGTAGCACTTCCACGGTGTGTGGGAGAGTGTGTGTCCGCAGCCTGCCCATGCTGTGAAAACCTGCCGCACAGTGAAGTCATTTATCCGCAAACAGCGCAGCATCACGGCCCCGCGTGCTTTGTTACTGTGGGCAGGTTTG